GTCTTTTAGGAGCTTACTAAGAGTTGATATCCTAGCATGTAGTTCCACAAATCTCAAACTCATTTTTCCACACATGCTTTAAACGATCTCCTCTCTCCTGTTTTCTCTGTCTTTAATTGCCTCTCCATCCTCTCAGCTGGAAACTTCACATTCATCTGACTTCTGTTCCCTTCCTCTCTTCAATGAATCTGTCAACAAGTGCTACCTCTCTGTCTCCAAAATTGCTTTTGAATACGTTTGTTTCCTTTTCTCCATTCTCATAGCTATTGCCCTGTGTAGGTGAATTTTATCTTTAATTCCAATTCTTAGGAGTGTTATTTTCTCCTTTCAGGCTTTCTACTGTATAATCCATCCTCCAGACTGGTGTCATATCTATTTCTTTAAAGACAGATCCGATCATATCATTCTTTGGCTTAAAAACCTTTGATAGGTCCCCATTATGTTCAAGAGATAAAGTCTGAAATCCTTAGGTTGTCATGCTAGAGTTTCACGGAATGGCCCCAGTCTACTTATTCTATCCTCATTTTCTTCCACAATCCCCCTCCCCGCCCCCACCCCGTTGCAAACACATACATTGATTCTGGTCCCACCAGCTTCCTTATAGTTCCTTGAGCTTGCTGTCTTCTTGTGCTTTTGAGCATACTGTACTTTGCTGGAGCTTATATGGATGAGCTGAGGAAACCAAGATTTTACGAAGGATACTTTTGACAAAATAAGACAGAAGAAACAAGCCATGCATAGAACCAGGAAATAGGGGCAACCATTAGAACAGTGTTTGGGTTAGTAACTATAGACTACTTCCTCCTGAGGCCAACCAGGAAGAAGGACTTGATTCCAAAAGGTACTGGAGCCAGAGCAGTGATGGAACTGGTTTATAATGGTATTAAATGAATGCCTCTTTCTTATTACTACAGATAGTCAAGAGCCAGCTGTTATTTTTATAGCTGGAAGATAGAGGAAAAGATGGCACATTCAATGGCACATTCCAGGTGTGGTAGTTAAGTTTAAGAAAACCCATTATCCTCATCCACCTACTACTCCTACCATATTTCACTTTCTAAGGGAGTAAAGAATGGATAGGAACCCACAGGCCTAAGAGTCTTCGCATTGACGCATTGTCAGGAGTCAATGGGATAGAGCCAGAGATGGTGAGTTTAAGGAGTATACTGAATGAAGGAAAGCAGCAGCTATTTACCTAGAGTTCTTGAGGATGCAGAGGCTTTCCATGCTTGTGCTTAGGCATACTTCTGCCTAACCTTGGCACATTTTTTATTAACTTTTGTCCATTTTGTACACATCTGATTCCTAAAAATTATTTTTTATTATGTAAGTAATAGATCAATATAGTCAAAACATTCATCATATCTTACGAAGGCTACCTTGACATTCCCCTCACCACTCATCCCCAAACCCACTCATCTCCCTACTGACAGCAGAAAATGGGGACTATTTTCAGTTTCATATCTATTCTTCAGGCCTTTTTCTGTGCATTGACTTAGAGATAGATATAGGGTAGATAAACAGACTTATGAAAGTTATATAGTATTGCTTTGTTTGTGTGTTTATGTATGCTTTCCCCACAAAAATAGTATCACACTGCCTCTTATTTGGCAAACTTGCTATTTAGATTCTATAATATATCTTGGAGATCTTTTCATATTGGTACATATAGACGGTTTCTTACATTTTTTTCCAATTTCTACTACATGCTGTCATCTTTAGGGCTAGCTTGACTTTTTCCTCTTCTCTTGGTAATCTCATGTGGACAATTAGAAGTTAAAAGAAAAAAAAATTACAGCAACCAGCTATTGATTCTGATGCCAATTACATATGGCAATTGCTGGCTGGGGGAGGAATGTTTTCCTTAAAAATTAGACTGTCTTAGAAACACCACTGGATCCAGTTCAAAGGACACTGCTGACATTAACACCCTCTTTCCTCCTTTTCCTTTCCCACCCCCCCAATTACTGGCATTGCTGGAAATTAAATGTAACCACAGCTCTTTGCAGTATGTATACATCTGGTTTTTCCTTTTCCATGTGTTTAAGTCCTCCCTTCTCAATTGCTTCTGTTTAGCACTTAATTTAAATTCCCAAATTAATTCAAGAAGCAAAATTGAAACCTGTAAAATGACGGGCTTAGATGATCTTTTACATCTTTAGGGCCTTTACAGCTCTAGGCTTCTTTTAAGTTATAGACATAAAGAAGTACAGGACTGAGTCCAAGTGAATGGGAAGTTCTGAGATGTTTGCACTTATTATGTGCTTTTGAGTGTTTAAAGATTTAAGAGGTACCATTGTATACCAGGAGCGAGGGTTAGGGGTCAGGAATTGGGGGAATCAGTCCCAGCCCATCACTGACTCTCTTTGTGATTTCAGGTCACTCCTTACTCTTAAATTTTCCCATCTGTAACATGTAATAGATTATTTCTGACTCGTAACTTACCCAGGGATGTTTTGTGAAATAATAAAGATAATCACTGCCAGTTATTTTTTTGCCCCTCAGTAAAGATTCTGTATCAGTTAATGGCAGCAGTAGGGTGGTTATTGCATTATTTAAGAAAGCTCTTGAAAGTGGGAGAAGTACTTAGAATAGGTCACCTAAAGTTTTGATCATTTCTCTTAGGCCAACAAAGAGTGATCTGTGTTAGGTAGAACAATACTGAAAACTGAAAGAAAAGTAAAAGATTTGTAACACTGTAGGAGCCGATCCATGCTGTGTGTAGAGCTCTTTTCAGCTGTAATGTTCTGAGTCACTAGGTGCCTTTGACAAAAGTTGGCAAGCTATCTTTTAAATTTTTTTTCATTGTTATATTTGTATTTTTATATTTGTTCAAATATTCTCCATGAATTATGTCATATAGATCACCTTTGAGTAGAAAGTCATGTGTAAAATTTGCCACTTTACTTGAATTCTAACCTTCCTGTGGAGTTATTATGTCAGGTTCTCTAAGTTCTACTTTTCACCTTGTGATTGGTTGTTTTTTGTTATAAAAAACATGTATGAGACTCTTAACCTCTTTGAACTGTTGTTCTTTTGGTTGACGCAAAACACTAGTAAACTTTCTCTTTAAAGAAAAAAACAATTGTAGAAAGAGGAGATATTTTTGTGAGAGAATAGTTTAAAGAAATGTAATTTTTTTCTCATTGCACTTTCCAAATTGACGTCACCCCTGGGGGTGCGAGAATTCTTTCAAAGCTTAATATGCAACTGATGAACAAAACTGACACTTGACGGCATGAAGTCCCGCCGTGTTTGCTGTGTATTTTCTGCATCTGGAGACGATTCTATAATGATGTGAAAAATGGAGATTACAAATTTCAAAGTATATATTTCACAATCAAAGTATTTATAAACACATATGAAACTCGTTCTATGTATAACCTATGCTGAAATGGAATGGTCATGTTTATAACTCAGTAGGTAAACGGCTCTGGAATGCTTCAGACCAGGCTCAGCTGAGGCAAGACATTTTGAACTGATATGGTAAGAAGAATCTGTTTCCTTATTCAGCAGTTTCATATGAATTTAAAAAGATGGCCGGTGTTTGGTTTAGTTCCAAATTTGCTTGTTATGCTTCTTATGCCAGTAGAACATATTATCTTTCTCTCTGTAGATTTAGTAGAGTTGGCCTTGGAATATGGCTTTGCAGGTATAAAAGGGTTATTTTTTTTTACTCCTCTTGAACTTTAAAATTTAAATCAGTCAAGTAACCAAGAAGGGCTATAAGAGAGGATACCATTGACATGCTTTGTCATCTCTGTTGTTTTTCTTTTCTTTGCCTGAAAACTTAAACTGAATTGTAGCTTTTACTTAAAAATAAATTACTAGTAACATAAAGGCAGTTGAATAGCATTATAGAAAATTTTGAAAATGGAGAGAGGGGAATGAACTGTCATAGATAGGATATGTTCTGGGTCTTGAAGGATATGCAGTTCTTGATGTATTCCAGACTGCCCCTTGGACAGTTTTTGTTTTGTGTGAATGTCGTATGTTATATGTTGTATACCTGGGTCATCCGTGTTGGTAGAAAGAGTTGTGTATTTATTTTCTAATTACGATATAATCTTAACATGTGGGCTTGGATGAGTCTCATCAGTCTGCCTTCCCTTATTTTCTTCCTTGGTAAAATGATAATGGCTATATAATTTGAGGTTTATTAATTCAGTGGAGGCAAATCTTTGAAGTTATAGAGATAACTTTCACTGCGAATGAATTTAAGATAGGAAAATAGGATTGCCACATTAATGCATTCTTCTACCTTTAGGAATGGAACTACATTTGGGGGAGGGGTTCATAAAAATAATGATTAGGCTCCCAAGACAGTTTGAGTACCTTATGCGTGTTCTAGCTGGCAATAATCTTAACCATCTTGCAATTCAGCATCTGGTTTATACATGAGACCCCTATAATTAACCAGTAGTACTTCTTGGCCTTGTCTTTCAGGAAGATTTATAGTATATCTTAAGTGGTGTCAGATAGCAGCCAGAAGAATGAATAGCTAGCTTTCTTAATTTAGAATAATTGTTAAAATAAAATAAGATTTAAAAAAATTGATTTCCTTCTTCATTTGACATGATTGATAACTTTACTATTGGAGCAACCTAGGAAGCTTAAGTTTCTTGGGTGTGGTTTTAGAGTCTTAGGAAGTCTGGGAAGAACTAGGCTTTAGAGGGGGTAGGCTTGTGTTATGCAAGGAAGAATTATTAGGCCAGATGCCTTTCATGTCTTTATCTGCCAGAGTAAAAAACTGTAGAGTCAAGAGTTTGTTTCAGTAAAAGTTTTCATATGTTCTCTTCCCAGGGCAAAATGACTTTTTAATACATGTAAGAGTCCAAATACTTTATAGGTAATCAATATCAAGAAAAGGCGAGTTTGTTTTCCCATTGTTTAGGTTATCAAATTGAAACACATTCCTATTGCTGTGTTCTGCTTAAACCATAATTATCAGAGAGATCTTATTAAACAGGATTTTCTGAAATAAGACCTTTTGGTTTTAGGTGGAACTGTTATCATGGCGTGAATTGAGAACTGACTGTGCAACCTACTTATTTGGAAAATTCTTCTCCTGAAATTTTGCTTCACATCCATGACTTCTAATGGAAAGGGTACGGTGAGAGGCAACAAGTAGATTTCTAAGCCAAACTCTTTTTTTTAAAAAAATCCCCTAGTGATTAAATTGCCTTGCATGAGTAGATCCCAACAAGGGTTTGAGATTGGTTAGTTCAGGACATCTTGTCTAAACATTCTTCTAGGGACAGGTCTATGCTGGCTAGACCCATAGAAATCAAAATTATCAACACAGTGATGACAACGTAATTAGCCACATCTCTCGGCAGTGTGTATAACCAGCCATTTCTGAGGCTGTTGAAAGGTCCACTGCGGTAAAATTCTGGCTCTACCCTTGACTCCTGTAAATGACCCTAAGGATTTGGGACTGAACTCTTGTCAGTGACTTCTGGGTAAATAGTGTACAAAGTTAGGAAACTAGATCAAAACAAAACTCACCTTACAGCGAGGATAAATTATGATAGAGTGAGAAATTGGCAGAAGTTTTAGTGAATAGGATCCTCAAACTTACGTAAGTGCTTGTTGCATTCAGACTTTTTAAAAAAACTTTGTCTAAACCGTTAAAGTAGATTTTACGTAAATTGTTCATGCTAAATATTTGCATTATATGTCCCTATTCCTTTGTACTTCCCAGTTGATGAAGTTTTCAAACTGTGGTTTGCTAGAGGGGGAAAAAATCCCGAATCAAAACCTCGTAGAACAAATTGAATTACAAACCTGGTGTGGTCCTTTAACTCAATTACATCTAATTTGTGTTATTTTAGTCATCCTGGGTGGCAGCTGTTCTGTGTGAATGCCCACAAACATTTTCAGTGTTAAGAATTTGTCCTGACTATACACTTTAAGATTGGTAGTAGCCTATTTCTATTTTAATGGACAAAGTTATAGATTAATTTGGTATTATCAGGACCATTTTAAAAATAAAAAATTTAGTTGGTTTGTTCTTTGCATTGACTAATGTATTTTAAATGTTATTTTTTTTGTAACTTCACCTCATTTTCTTATTTTTTATGCCTCTACTTAAATTTCTCCTAAAAATAGCCTTTTAATTACTCCATTCAGGCAATTATCAATTTTCGAGAGCAAGGAAATACAGAATTTTAGATTTTGATATACCCAAATAAATATTTTGACATCCTAAATCAAAATTTGGAATTATCTGGGCAAGAAAGACATGGAGAAAAATATGGATTCAGGATTGTTCAGTTCAATGTAATTGAGATGGAGGTTTCAGTTAGAATTGAGTTAGGATTGAGTCTGAATTTACAGAAGACATTAAAACCCAAGAGACTCAAGTAAAAGCTGACACAGGAACCACATCCTTCATTCTCTTCCTTTCTTTAATTTTTGTTTTTATTGTATTATCTGAGATTCATCTTTTGTGCGAAATACTCAGTTTAATTCACTGAATATCACTAACTTGGATAGGAAAAGAGACATTTAAATGTCTTTATAATATCAGGAGTGAAATATGCAGAATATAAACACAGAAGGAAGAGAACATAGATGACATGGGAACCTCAACAAATTTTCTAAAGTGGACAAATGCTCACTAGAGAATTACAGTGAAGAGATTAATTCCTCAGAAATGACCTATAATATATGAATATGTTTTACAAAACATTGTTTTTCTACTGCATTCAGTAATTTTCCTTTAGCAGCTGAATATCTGCTATGGATTAGATATTGTTCTAGGTGCTGAACCTTCAAAGATGAATAAGTTACATATATAAATTCATGGCAAACATGTAAATAATAATTTATAATTAGCACCATGTGGTATGTGATGCGATAGAGGTTTGAATACATTCAAAGCTTCATATATTGTTATGGGGAGAGTATAGGATTAAAGTTAGGATATTAGAACAAAACAGAAGTGTATTTTTAAAAAATTCTACTATACTGGAGACTTACATTTTTTACTAGCCATTTAATCAGTTACTTGTTGACCCATAGATTTAGTTTAGGAGTATAAATTTTTTAAATTTGTCATGTCTATCAGCTGCCTAAACTACTTCCCATTCCATTCTCTTCTAAGGGAAGAAGTAACAGTAAGACCATTTATTCTAAGCACTTTCTTGTACGTTATCATTATAATTTTTTGTAAACTATACTAAATTCAATAACATTTTTTTAAGCTTTCTTCATCCTGTATTCCTCTTTTATATCTGACCCTGACTGTCCGTCTGTCTTCTACATGAAACTTTCCCCACCCTTGGTTTTCAATGGCAGTGTATTTTTTGGTTCCTCTCCTGCCTTTCTAATCTTACTTGGTGTTCTTTGCTGGCTTCATCTCTGCATTAGTTATCTATTGCTATGACAAATTACCCCAAAATTTAGTGGCTTAAAAAAATGAATATTTATTATCTCCGTTTCTGTGGGCTAGTAATACCACATCTGTCTAATGCACATTTGTATGATCAACATTCAAACATTCATAAATGAATGCTGTTATTCTAGTCGAGGTTCTCATCACTTTACACTGAAGTAGCTTCACCAACTCTTCGTTGCTTTCCAGTCTTTCTACTGCTGTTAAACCACTCTCTTTAAAGAAATCCATGCTGCTGCTTCCCTGATCAATAATCAATTGTGACTCTCATTGGTCTAATCTTAAAGTTTATATTGGTCTTCTGGCTTTCAGAGCATTCCATATACCTATTTATTCAACCACGTTTCTTAACAAACACCTACTTAAACTGGTTATTTATACCTTATACCAACTCCTATCCTCATCCCTAATACTATGTTCAGTTTTACTTTTTTCTTGCCTTTATTACCGTTTTTTCCCCACTCACCTGTAATGCTTACTCTCCTTATTTTTTCAAATCTTACTGATTCTTTCTTCCAGCTCAAATCTCATTATATTCCTTCTACCCTTTTCATAAAGCCACCTTTGGTCTTTTCTGTCCCACTCTAGTTTTTACTCTTTGAATTCCTGTTATATTAATGCTCAATACCAAACACTGTTATTTCTTTATCTTTAGTTTATTTGACTTAATTTCCCTTCCCAACTAGGATATGAATTATCTGAGAGCAAAATCCTCTCACTTCTTGTGTCTTTGTTATACTGTGCTCTGTAAGTACATGTTGGTCGAGTAACCGAAAATTAGAAAATTTGACTCAGCTATAAAAAATTCTCATTGTGATGCTGCTGGATGAATTTGAACTCCCGGAGCCATAAATGAGGATGAGCTGGGACTTCAGTATGGTTTGGAGATACATTTCATCATCTTTAGGAAAAAGCATTGCTGTATGAAAAGATTAATTTTAAAAATGTTCCTTCTGGCCAACTATCAAAACTTGAACTATCAAAGCTGAAGTTTCACAGTTGCCTGGAGCAGAACAGGAATTAAGTAGCAAGCAATTCAAGGTCTCTGATCCCTAGCCTGCTTCAACTAGGGGCCTGGCCAAGCCCTTTGGCATAGATAGGTAGAATAAGGAATGTACTTTTTATCTTCTTTCTCTTGAGAGTTTCATGGATTCAATTCACAAAGAGAGGGCAATAATTAAAATTTTGTGTCAGCATCTTCTCATTCACCTAGAAAAGTTAAAGGCAGGCAATAATATTAATCAATACTTAAGTACCCATATAGCCTGAAAATAATATTGTGGTTAATTATGTTCCATAATATTCTTGGTATATTTTGTACTAGCCCTGGAGCATGAGGCCTAAGAGCCAGTGGGAACTAAAGTGGTTTTTTTTTGGTAACTTTGTTTAGTCTGTGCTTTTGCTAAGATAATAGTTCCTACTAATATTCCTTTGTGTCCACTTAGAACTTTTTTGTTTTCTTTTTTTTCTCTACATTTTTGCTTTTCTTCATTATTTTTTCTTGTAAGCTATAGGTAGGTCATGGTTAGAATATATGAGGAACATTCGCATCTTCATTATAGCTGTCTCAAATTCTTATTAGGTTTGTATTTCAGAGTTATTTATAATGTTAGGTCTGTGATTTAGGTTATTATTTGCACACTTTTGGTTTCCCTGTGGCTAAATTACTGGTGTTTATATAAAAAAGTTGTTTCTTTCCTTGTTATTTTTTTTATATAGGTGTTTCAATTAAGAGTCCTGTCTTTAGCACTGGAATATTTTAATTAGAGCAATTAAAGAAATTGAAAAGGTTAAAGCTCTTGATTCTTGCCTTTTATCCGTATAGTAATGACTTTTAGATATGTTTCCTAGAGAAGATAAAGAATATTAGTTGTGAATTTACCTGGTTACTGTTCAGACCACCTCAGTTCATACATCCTGCCTCTACATTTCTTCCTCTAGATCTCCTGCACCTAAGGGCCTCCTCATAAAAGCCAATCCAATGATAATAGCTGTATTACATCTTAGTTTTCTTCTTTACTCAACCCGCACTTCTCCACATATACTCCACTTCCCTACCCAGTGAGCAGCTTCCAGCTGCGTTTAAAGGTAAAAGAAATGGGAGGAGAAGGGAGGCAGGGAAGGACAGAGGCAACCGTGAAAAAGGGTTAGGAAGCAGCGTGAGTGTTGTCCTCCAAGGACTCGACTGCCTTTTTAAACTGCTGCCCTATTCTGCCTTGGTCCTGTTGCCACAGTTTTAATGTTTCTAAAAAGGAGTTTAAAATAAAAATTAAACAAATTTGTTCGAATTTCAGTCCTCAACACTTAAAAGTGCTTTTCTGAAAATCTCTGGTGATATCCTTAAGACTAAATGTCATGGTTTTTGCTTATTCTCCATCTTCCTTGATGACTGCTGCATCTTATACAAATGTGAATATTCCCTTCTTGAAAAAAGGAAATAACTTGTTGAATACAACTTTTGCTACATGAAACCTTGTCTAATCAGCCTCATTTGAAAGTGCACATTTCATTTGATGGCATTTGCAAATTATCTCACCCCCCACCAGAACTTGCAATATGAAAATGCTTCCATATGCTAAAAGCTAGTCTCCTCATTTTGCTTGAGGAGAAAAAAAAGAAACTACTTGACCGACTTTCTGGCTTATAAACATGAAGCTACAATGTGGGCAGATTTGGTGATGGTAGTCCCACAGAGTTCACTGTAAACAACTCCGCAGCCTTGAGGCCTCACTACTGTTTAGGATGAGTCTGAAGAGTCGTGTTTGCCCCACAAAAGTGAATTGTTAAAAAAGCAATTGTGATTTATATATGGTTCTAAAATATTTGAATTCATTTAAAATATAGTATTAAACTCTGAGTTCTAACAGATTTGAACATTTTAAATAACTAAATATTTTTGCTTTCAGATTCTTTGTCTATCTGAAGGCATTTATTTCAGTAGTGACTACTAAGGTCTGGGCCCCCAACACCACAGGCCTGGATTATAGCAATAGTTTTCTCCCTGATCTCCCTAACATTAGTCATTCTCCCTTTAACTTGGTCTGCCCAGTGCTATAGGATAATCTTTCTTAAATAACATTATGCCTTTTCTTATCAGCTGATTTTATTTATCTTTATCTCACCAATATTTTGTTCAAAATCTGATTTATAATTTCCTATAAGGAATCTTGGTGATAATCTCATCTGGCCCTATTTTTCCATAGTACTTTTCAACCAAGCTCCTACTCTATTATATTTATGTTGATTTATTGAAGATTTAAAGAAGTTGTTATATGAGTGTTCTTTCCTTTCCAAATAGACGTTATTGTGATAGAAATACTATTTCTATACACATATTTGGTATAATGAACTCCCATATGCCATTCATATAGTCTTATCTACTATTAACATTGTGCTACATTTCCTCTTTTTCTCTCAAATACACAAATACATACATATCATTATACTTTTGTTCAGAACCATTTGCTAGTAAATTGTGGAGTCTGTAACCATTCACCCTAATACTTCAGCATGTGTCCAATAAGAAGACACT